CAAATAGATTCGTGCCCAGAAAGGTATCCGTTTCCGCGGCACTCCTTGTGGCCTTTTGCAGCTCCCTGGGCAGAAGATCCTTAAGCAGCCAATCCGGCTGTTGGTATCTCCTGGGCGGCGCATAGGGAGGATCCTCCTTATGCTCCTCATCGATCCTCCCGTTCAGCCCGTTGCGATAGGCCCGCAGCTCCGAGCTGAGCATCGATTGCAGGGTCAGTTCGTTCTGGAAATCGTTGGTCGGCACCTCCAAAGTAGCCAGATCGATGCTGTATATGGGACAACCCCCGGGAGCCAGGAAAAAAAGCAGCCAGGAGAGCACATAAAAGTTCATTACTCAGTTAATCAGTTTGTCAGTTGTTTTTGAAGCAAATTTCTGCGCCAACCGATCGAGATTTAATCCTCGGAATCCATGGTTCCTCCATTTGCAGCCCGGGATACGGCGGAAATAGAGCGCAGCAATCTGGTGAATATTTGCAAGTTGGTGGTCAAGGAGTTGTTGGAGCAGTCCCTTCGATACGGTCGTATGTTGGACTCGGATCATCTGCCGCTGCAGCATTTCTTCATCGTCATAGAGCACGTCCTGGGACATGGATTGCGCCCCAAGAAGGGCCTCCTGGGGCCGCGCAAGGAACTGTGGGACCTGCTGCAGAGCGTCGAACACTACTGCCCGGAGGCGCAGGACATCACGGCCAGTGTCAGGGATCTGCCCACCGTTCGCACTCATATTGGCAGGGCTCGGGCCTGGTTGAGGATTGCCTTGATGCAGAAGAAGCTATCGGACTACCTGCAGGCCCTCATCGAGCACAGGGATGATTCACTGTACGACTACTACGAGCCACATGCCCTGATGATGAGCGATGAGGTCTGACTGTGGCTAATCCTCTGAAGAAACTCCTTTTAACCCATCTCTCCCTGACCTCCAGATCGTTGTGATAATGGGCATTCTAGTGGGCTTGAATGTAATCGACTGCAATCTGTGCGTCAAGGAGGAGGATCTGGACTCCCAGCAGGGCGTCATCGACTTTTCGCTGTACCTGCGTTCCAGTTCACGGAATGGGGATGCCGCTCCAGAGGACAATGCTCCGCCTGCTCTTTTGGATGCCACTGGGCAGGGCAACATGATTGCGGTGCTGGACCAGAAGAACTACATTGAGGAGCTCAACAGGCACCTAAAGTGGGTTATGGCTGTTCTTAAATGGAGCACTTGGGCTAAGTTATATCCCATCTTTCAGCGCCACTGTGGGAAATCTTCAGGCCAAGGTGGAGTCGCTGACGACCACGAATGCTCTGATGAAGGAGGATTTGGCCATCGCTCGGAATAGTTTGTTAGCCCTGCAAGCTGAAAACCAGGCCATGCGACAGTCCACTCCGGCGCCGGATAACAATTCCACTGGTTCAGGTGGCTCCTCCGACAAGGACAAGGAGAAGGCTTCGGAGGAGCTGGTGGAAGAGCGCCGCAAGACCAGCGAACTGGAGAAGGAGCTCAAACTGCAGGTGTCCCTCAAGGCGGAGTCCGACATGGCCATGAAGCTGCTGGAAAAGGACATTCACGAGAAGCAGGACACGATAGTCTCGCTGCGTCGCCAACTGGACGACATCAAGCAGATCAACCTGGAGATGTATCGCAAACTGCAGGTGAGTAGTCCACTCAGCATCATCAGGATGGGTTTGTTTGGTATAAAAACAGGGTAATCTCTTGGAGCGATTACTATCTACCCAACGTTATTCCTTGTTTAACCAACAATCCCATCAAAATCATCAACACTCACAACTCATCTGCCCACATTCATTCGCTCATCTGGTCCGTAGCTTTGCTATCATTTCCCTTTCGTTTAAGCCTTTGTTTATAATTTAATCATTAGCTCCAAGTTAAATCGGTTTAAGCCTTAAAGTCAAAAAGTAATCCCGTCTGAAATTCAACCAGGAATGTGAAGATGAACTCACACAAAAGGGCGAAATGGTCTCGCGCCTGCAAACGAAAGCCTCACAAATTGGTAACATTTTACAATCGCTAGAAAAGAAATACGAATCGAAGCTCGTCGACCAGCACCACTATGGGTCGGGATCGGGATCAGGAGCCGGAGCTGGGGGCGGATCCATTGGCGGAGACCGCTCCCCCAACACCCGGCGACAGCAGAATCTGGAGAAGTTCGAGGCGCTCACCAAGAAGCACAAACAGGACGGTCCGCCCATGAAGCGGATGCACCTCAAGATGGACGCCTTTCCGCCCTTCGATCCGAGCAAGTACCGTAAATCGCCGCGTCAGCCGGATGCACCCAATCCGGAGGAGCTGCCGGAGAGCAAGGATGCCAAGACGCCCACGTCCGCCAAGTCCCTGAACGATGAGCTGGCCGAGGCGGCGGCTGAGGTGACCCAGCACTTCGGAGTGGATGCATCCCAGAGCGATTACGTCCTGTGCCGGGAGCAGACAGCCGAGGGAGATACTTAAACAGCAGCTAAATTTAGAATAAGACTCCTTGTTTTTATGGCCAGTTTCGGTTTTCACAATATAAGTTCCACCTAAATGTATTAACTTCCCTTCAAAAATCTATATAGAAAATAGATTTGAATTTAGTTTTCTTTAAATGAAAATCCATTTCTTAATGGCTGAAATAAGGTTTATATCGTTACTGAATGAATTTAGTGCCTGACTGCATTTATACCTAAGGAGAAGTTCAATTATAAATATTATTTAACATGTATAAGAAGAAATTATTGTTGAGTGTTAGTTTCAAACAAATTTGCTAATCTGATTTACTGTAAGATCTTAAGATCAGTTGAATATTCCACCATGTGAAAATCGGAACAGGCCTGTATTGCTCTCAACATCCTTGAGACCTGGATAAACACTCAAAGTCCGCGTCCAGGTCCCGAACGGAACTCAAAGTGCAACTACTTAAACAACCCTATAGCTAAATAGCTCTATAGCCAGTGTGTGTACCATATAGGATGCCTTTACACCCTAGACCAGATCTCTTAAATGGATAGAATACCAGTATATGAATTGTTAAAGGTTTTGAATTACTACAGTATGCAACCTGTTAGCTAAATTATCTTCCCAAAGCCCCCGTAAACAATGATTATATACGATTATACTATAACAACGTATGTATGTATATATGTATAGTGTGATTAAGAGGCTTCAGATGTTTATTATACATATGTATGTACGTATGGATCCCCACGCAATCGCTTATATTGTAACTATACACTCAGCCTAGTCAAATACAAAAATATTGTAATTATATACTATGAATAAATATTGAGACTATATGAATCTACAAGTCCATGCAATGTATTATACGCGTTGGAGCTTCAGTCTATATTCTAATACTCATACTCTTCAAAATCGATCCCAGAGAAATAAAACTTATCCGAACCCCAAGTCTTTCATTTTCCACCCTACTAACACCTAATGACGGAACATTACGACGTTGGTACATCCGCTTATTTTCTTCGTTGGCAGGACTGCAAGGCCTCTTTAACGCACAAAACCGAGTTGATGACCAAGTTGGAAGTCCAGAAGGAGGACATGGCCAGTACTATCGATCAGTTGGAAAAGAAGTAAGATCCGTGGGGGGCTGTTAGGGATTGTAGATTTGGAAAAATACTCGAAGATTGAGTTTTGAACCACAATACATTTCGGACCATTTTCAAAATTAATTTTTGTTAGTGTTGGGGCTTTTCATAAACGTGACCCAAATCCAGATCATCTGGTCCTGATCTAAATATTGAAGAGGTTAACGATTAAAAATTAATTAATCTGCGAAAAATGTTCCAGACGGCATACCTCTAATAAATTGTGGATTAATTCTCTGTAAATATACATGGTCAATCCTTATAAAACCCTGTATTCCCTCCCCAGGTGGACCCATGACAAGAGCAATCTTGGCGAGATTCTGAAGACCACGTCGCAAACGCTGACCACGCAGGTCACCGCCAGCGAGGAGCGGGCTGCCCGGGCGGAGGCCGAGTCCAGGATTGAACGGGAGTGGCGGATCTCCCTGCAGGAGAAGGAGCTGAAGCTGAAGGAAAAGATATCCAACCTGCAGGGCTGCCTCAAGGAACTGGCCGAGGAGAAGGAGAGGAACGGCAAGCTCAAGGCTGATCTGGACAAGGTCCGCACCCAATGGTCAGAGGCTCAAACCACGCTGGAGGAGCTCGGCATTCAGCTGAGTGTGAGCAAGCTGAAGGTGTCGGAGATGCAGGATCAGGAGCGTCGCCAGCGGCAGCTGCTCTCCGGCTCCGCCCAGTCACTACAGGCTATGCCGGAGGCTGTTGGCAGTCCCGGGATCTGGGCACCGGACTCCATTGCCACCCACTGCACCGCCTGCGAGCGGGAGTTCAATCTCACGCGTCGGAAACACCACTGCCGCAGCTGCGGGGAGATCTTCTGCAAGGCCTGCTCGGAGCACACGCTGCCCCTCATCAATGCCCAGGGTCAGCCGGGGAAACCTGTACGCGTGTGCGACAACTGCTATGCCGCTAAATGATAAGGAATTGTGTGTGTGCTAGATATGCCTGTACGTTTGACTAGGAATTTTAGAAGACGGTGTGATCTTTGGACAGTTCTAGAAATTTGTTAGTACCTTTATGTTGAAAAGTTCCATTAAATGGTGATCTTATTTTAAAGTGAAAAGTGAGATTTATTAGATACAAATTTAATTATGCCTAATTTTCTTAGAACTGTCCAATAGTACCCGCTCATATGAACACTCGCATCCATGGTTGTGACATGTAGTTGACCATTGACCTTGCGATAAATTCCCTGTCATCCATTTGACGATATATATTACATTCATTGTGTTTTGTAATCGAATTATAATAAACCTTGTGTTAACGAACTCGTAAAACTGATTCAACAATGACTTACTTTATCTTTGATCAAATGATTAGCTGATAAACCATTGAAAAAGGTTTAAAGTGCAATTATTTTGAAATTCCTTCGAAAAAGTATAGTTTTTACCGATGTCAATGCGAAATCAATCAAATGTATTTAAAACGTTTTAAAATGATTTTTAAAAATACCAAATATGTTCAAATTACTCGGCGCCCTGCGTCGATCTTGGTGTTCGGCTGCCAAATCGGGTATTGGGAACCCAGCAAGCTGTATATCAAGGATTTGGTTTGGTCCCCTCCCCAAGGATTCAATTTGGATTAAGCCAGGTCGCCTACACTATCTTGAAAGTGATGTGGAAAAGCAGGTGGACATTATAAAAACCATCGATGGTGTGGTGGTGCTGTTGTACAACAAATCCCGTGAGAAACTGATCTTTGTACGACAATTTAGGGGAGCGGTTTACCAGGGAATTTATTCAGCTGGAAGTTCAGCCATGGCCAAAGGAGAAGCTAATCTGGAGAAGTTTCCTCCGGAAATGGGAGTTACTTTGGAACTTTGTGGTGGGGCTGTTGACAAGGACATAAGCTTAAAGGAAATTGCCAAGAAGGAAGTTTTGGAAGAGTGTGGATACGAAGTGCCCACGGAATCCCTGCAGCATGTATTTGATTATAGATCGGGTATTGGAACGTCTAGCAGTGCTATGACTTTATATTACTGCGAGGTGTGCGATGGTCAGAAAGTCTCGGAAGGCGGTGGCGTTGATGCGGAAAATATCCAGGTGTTGGAGATGTCTGTAGAGGAATCAAGGAAGTTGGTTCAAACAGGAGCCAGAACCAATGGGGGGCCTTCCTGTTTGCTGGGGTTACTATGGTTCTTTCTCTATAAGGCTCCCAAGGTGACCACTCAGTAGTTCTTACAATTTAAATACTTTATTAAATACATTTTCTGGAAATCTAAAATAAGACTATTATATTTAATTTTTAAAGATGTAGGTGTTTTTTAAAATAAGAACTAAGTATTAATTCCTCTATAACGAACTTTTCAAATTCAAAAAGTATTACCATCTGCTGCCAGGCCTTAAACGTCAGAAAAGCTCCCCCGAAACAAAAGCTACCATCTGATTGTGTCTCCCCAACGCCGGTTGGAGCTTTCCCAGTCAGCTGTTGATAGTGCCACTGCCGTGTTTTTGTGCCCCACGTCCGATTATTCAGCATGGAAAACGTTTCCAAGATCTGGCTGGGACCCCTGCCCGAGGACTCTCCCTATGTGAAACCCTTCCGCCTGTACTACGTCCAGAACGGCGTGGAGAAGAACTGGGATCTGCTGAAGGTCCACGATAGCGTGGCCATCATCCTCTACAACACTTCTCGCCAGAAGCTGGTCCTGGTCCGTCAGTTCCGACCCGCTGTCTACCATGGCATCATCTCCAGCGCCCAGGGCAGCTTCGATAAGGTGGACCTCAAGGAGTTCCCGCCCGCCATCGGGGTCACCTTGGAACTGTGCGCCGGGATCGTGGACAAATCCAAGAGCTGGGTGGAAATCGCCCGGGAGGAGGTGGTGGAGGAGTGTGGATACGATGTCCCTGTGGAGAGGATCGAGGAGGTCATGGTCTACAGGTGAGGGGGGACATTTTTAATAATCCACATATGTATATGGGAGAGGTTTTGAGTTTCAGGGAGAAGGAATTTATTTCATTGACCCACCTTCTTAACATTTTTTCAGCCAGTTTTATTTTCCATAGTTAAAATAAATAAAATATCGTTACTTCAGACTGTAAAAAGAATGGTTGGTATCCTATAGCCCTTACAAATATGGTTAAGATGTACTTTGAGATTTTTCAAGTACAAAATTGATTTTTCAAACAACTTCCTAAAATCAGGCTGTTATTTACTAAAATGTTTCTATAAAATTAAAAAGCTTATAACATTATTATTTTATTATATAAAACTTAATTACATTGATCATAAACCTAATTAGATACAACCCCCATTCAAAGTTTATCAGAAATGGGAAGCTCGTAAACAATAATAATAGATAAGATAAGCTTTGTAAAACATAAAAAAGGTTTACTATTTTTTAAAACTCGAAAACAGTTAATTAATCCAGTCAATCCCTTTCAGATCTGGCGTCGGCTCATCGGGTGCCAAGCAAACCATGTACTACTGCGAGGTGACCGACGCGGACAAGGCCACCAGTGGTGGCGGAGTCGACGACGAGATCATCGAGGTGGTGGAGCTGTCTCTGGAGGAGGCCAAGCGGATGATCCAGCAGGGCGCCGTGAACAACAGCCCGCCCAGCTGCCTCATGGGTCTGATGTGGTTCTTCGCCAACAGGGCACCAGGTGCGAGGGCCTAGGGGGAAACGTTGCTGTTGATTCACCAAGATAAGCGGCGGCCGTGATAAGATGATAAGATGCGTCCGCATCCGCAGCGTTGCCTTAGTAACTCGTATTAGCCAACACGAAGTCAAATGCTTTCCAAACCGAGAACATTGTCAGTGCGCCTAGCGCATACGATAATACCCAATATTGAAATTCCCGTGCCTGTCGAGGCTTACCTTATGATATGTACTGTGTAATATGTAATAAACCCAGGCCAGCTGTCCGCTCATGAATTCGGTCAAGACGTCTCCCACTTCCACATCCACTTCAGCTTCCACTCCCACCGCGGCAGCCAAGTGCATAAATCGCCTATAAATCAAAATGCCGCAAGACGCTGCTGCTGCAGAAGCTCCAAACGGGTTCCGCTTTTCTCCGATCCCATCCGATCCGATCCGATGCGGTGCGATGGGACCTGGGACCAGGGACCCCATCCCAATCCCGACCCATCCGAACCGAACCGAACCGAAGCTGTGTGCCGTTTTTGGGCCCCTGTCAGGCAGCGTGTTGCTGGGATCAGGTTACTTATTTATACACGGCCAGGGATTTTAGCTTCCATGGTCGCTCCTGGTACTCCTGATTGCAGAGAAAGAAATAGGGTCTTTTCATACTCACACACTTTATATATCTTATATTACCTTATCTTTACAAAAATGTTTAATATGATCTGATACTTTCCAAATGCATTTCCATTTCGCCTTGATTTGTATTTGTATCTCTAATATCATATTTAGTAAAGGAATAGCTAAAATATTTATTAATAATATTAAAGTTAATTATTTTTTTATTTTCTTTAATGCTGTAGTGATATAATATCCTTTACTATGCAATACATATAATTATTATAAACTAGAATATGAAAGGGTTCTTGAAGCAAACGCCTTGTTAATCATCCAATTATTTTCCGTGTACCAGCATCTATCCATCGTCTAGCGTCGGATCCATCCTCCATTTCCATCCATCCCGGTTCAGCGGTCATGGCGAGTGGTGGCGTGGAAATTTATTTACCCCAGAGCCATGATTTGGCAATATTTCAACATTGTAATAGAATTTCTTTCAGCCTTTTCAGAGTTGACTTCCTTTTCGGCGGATGCCCCTGCTGCTGCCCCAGATCCCCCTGCTCCAGTCGCTGCATCCAAATCCCAGATCCCCTCCTGCATCCTTCGCATGTGCGTGCATTCGATTTGCCGCTGATTATCAAGGCCGGTTCTTTGTGTTGTCTGCTGTTCGCTTGCGTGTTAACCTCATGTAAATTATGGACCCGAGGCGGAGGAGCCGTCGGCAGCAGAGTCAACAAAAATGCGAGTGTTGAAATTATATTTAATTTGCATATGTTGGCGGACGACCAAGGCGGCCCAGGAGGCCCCTCAGGGACCTGGGGATGCAAATGAGTTGGGGGAGTTCCACGTGGATCAGGTGTAATGTTGACAAGAGGGATTTGTCACGTGAGCAGTGGCTCTCAAACTGTAGTCATAGTATAGCACTCATGAATGACTGAGGTTGTTGAATGGGTATTTGAGTTAAAAAAAACTTTTAAAATATAAACGTTTTTCTTTAACATACAAATATATCATAAATTTGAATATTTCGTACATAAATAATGAGGTATTCAGACCATTCAGCGCCTTTTTAATAGACAGAGATCCAAATTATTTTGATGGGTTTCCTCATCTACGGTTTCCGAAGCTATGTGAACTCATCGATTGCTTTAAATTGATTGTGAAGTCTGCGAAAAACATGGATTGCGGTTACAGTTCCCTTGGAACCTCTAATGAATGAAAGCGGTTTTCTTTTGCGTTAATTTAATGGCCGTTGCGTATTCCAGAGCGATTTCTTTTGATTTGTCTGGCGACAGCTTCGCAGCAGCGACTTATTGCTGTTGCAGTGTTGCAGTTGCAATTGCAGTTGCTTCCTCATCACACTGGAAACCCATCTGTCGCCTGTCACCTGCTCCCGTTTGAAGTGCTCGCTGTTGCTCCCCAAGGTGCAAATCGAAGTTGGTGGAGCCAACTGATTGCCTTTCCACGCAGAAAAATAAGATCAACTTAATTCATTATTAGCTGAGTGAATAAGAATCATTTTTGAAACACAAAATTGTAAATTGGGTATCAATATTTATCTTTATTTTTAGTTACTCAAGTGTTTCCCATATCTCCTTGAGTTTCAAATTCATCATAGTTATTTTCCGTGTGGCTTTACCTTTTGGCTCTGCTTAGTTGCGCAAGTCCAAAGTACAGAATTGCAATTATTTCATAATCACGTCCCAATTTATGTGCTGCCGGAGCAGCGGCGGCGATAGGCCAGAGATTGCCATTTCGAATCAAAGCTTCTTTCTATTCCTGCGCACCCAACTGACCTCCAGTGGCTATGGCCATAGCTCTAGCCCCATGGCTCTATAGAGCCCCTGCCTCTGAGAACCCAATCCCAATCGCAAAATGGCGTCCGCACACGAACGGGAGCGAAAAGTTCCAGCCGGAGATCAGGGGGTAATGTTGGATCTGCGGATGGGGAGGCTTCAATTCTGGGATGGGAAGACGGAAGATCAAGAAATCGCGATCATGAGCTGCTGCGCGGCTCGGTTTTCAGTGCGCATGCGAAAATTAAGTGCAGCCAGCAACAATCATAACAACAACAGCAAAATTACCTGTAAAACAGTTATGGTTTTTGTTGTTGCTGCTGCTGCTGCTGCTGTGGAGCAATAATGAAATTTTTTATCGGATTTGATTATAAGTTGCCCAGCTACATCCCGACCACCCCGCCACCCGTCGTAATCTGCCAATAAGAAGAAAAGTAAGCAAGGTAGTGCACTGGGAAAAAGTATTTGAATCTATAAAAAATTGTATTTTAAAATGTGCTTGGGTACTAACAGAATGTGTTTCTAGATGTTGTTAATATTATCTTAAAGGCTGTCCAAAGTGTATCTTTCAAGCTCAGTTTTAACCATGCAATTTGATCTCCCAAATGATTATTTCAAGACCAGTACTCATGATAAAACAATTATCTTAGTCTTCCAATAATATTTTATCACAATTTATATTCTATACCAAATTATTTGTTATTATAATTATTACCATTATGATAATATATCTATCAATCACTTTTGAAGTCCTAATAATTAAACCTCTTAAAGAAAAAGATAATGCCAACTCTCAACCTAACTTATAAAATGTTTTATCATGATCATATAGTTTCTCACAACATTAGATCATGATTAGGTAATACCTATTGGGTATTAGTATCCATAACAAGTTCTAAACGATTTCTTGCAGTGTTCCCTGCTGGTAGCTGCCTAGCAGGGAATGGGATTGGGTTGGCAATCCGCGGGGATTCGGGGAGCACTATGTAGCCGCCGCTCATTGATTCCGCCTGCCGTCCATCGGCCGTTGTCCGTCGTGATGCACTTTAATGAAATGAAATCTTATACTATCATGAGGCGCATGAACTGTAAAGCCGCAGCTGAAGCTGAAGTTGGAGCTGAATCTGAAGCCAAAACCCAAACCAAAGCCAAAGACTGCGAACTGCAGACCAAGTCC